GAATCAAGATTAAAAGAAGCATTAGTGACATCCGCAACCAAAGCTTTCCAATCAATGCCCCACGCCTTTTTATGAGAAACACACCAAGCTAACAGACGATGATGAAGAGAACACAAAGCCTTTTTGATAATGAAAACATAAGAGACCCAGGGATATGTTCTGCAAAAATAGTCCGAACCATAGCAGCAACATCCACAGAATGTAAGCACCAGTTTTCAATTCTGTAAGGCCGCTTACAACTACCAGAAGACAAGAGTCACACAAAATAATAGTCGCATGATCAGAAAACTAAATGGGCTGGTGATGAACTGAGGTAGCCGGCCAATCTTGAATCCAATGGGAAGTAGTCGATGCTTTATCTAATCTCTCAAAAGTGGGGTCCATAACTGTTCTCCCATTAGTCCAAGTGAAAGACGGTCCAGAAAGCGGAATATCAAGTAACCCATTGTCCAATTTTCATTGTATAAAATCACGACGACCAAGAATTACCTCCGACCTTATCCAATAAATATTCAACCTGGTTAAAATTGCTAACTAACACAACCTTTGGATAAGCGGCTTAAATATCAGAAATTTCTAACCATACAGTCATGCGATCAGAAACTTGAGGCGCTCCATACAGAAAAAGGACATGTTTTATTACCAAATTCTCCACAACTCGACACAATATTACATGCGGAGAAACTAAAAGAAGCTCAACCACAATTGGGGCAAACCAAAACACACAAAGCCCGCCACTAAGACCAAGCGAATCAACACCCACAAAACCTAAACATGACAGGGAAGATAACTTATGCATTACTGAATTTTCAGACACCATAGTTTCAGCTAAGAATACAATATCAACACCAAAAGAGCGGACTAAAGATGCAATGTAAGGAACTTTAGGGGAGTCCGCCTGACCCAAACCCCTACAGTTCCAAGCCACAATCTTCATGATGGCCTTAAATGGGCGGCCACCGAGCCCCCAGAATGAGACATCTAAGTTGGAGAAAAAGTACCAATTCCTTTACGAATCTTAACAAAGAGACATGAGAAACACCTAGTAGCAGCAGCCTCTGCTCCATTTTCCTCAGAGCAGAGCATTAAATTCTAAGCAGGCCCGAGGCTGATCTCTTCTTAGGACAAACCGAATTCACCCTCTCTAATGGTGAAGGGCTTCGAGGCCACTTCTGCGATGAAACTGACAAAGAGACAGAGATATTTGGTTGTTTAAGAGGGTTTAACCTAGGTCGAGGAGATTGAGCAGATTGGGTAGTAGAATTGGAGGGTGATGGTTGATAGGTGTCAGGGCAATGTCGGTTGTTTACTGGAGCGTGTAAGGGTTTTTTGTGGGCTGAGATATTGGGTTGGGATGGTGTTTGGCTCAATTCATTTGGAACAAGGTTAATGTGGGTGGTTGTTTCTAATTGTGATTTCTTCTTTTTCAATTGTGAGAAAGACAGAGTAGCATACTCACGGGGTCTTTTGTTGGGCTGAATGTTCTGGGATTGGGGTCGATCGATGTTTTTGAAAAAGCTCACTGTGGTTGTTCTATATTTCTCAGTTCTCTTTAGGCCAATATTCATATTTGAGATATTCTGGGCAAGCAAAGTAGCAGATTTACACGACCCATTCTTATCAACAAAAAATGGAGCAGAGCTATAATGATTTAAAGGGCAAGTATTCTGCTTATGGCCAACTCAGATTGTCCAAGGTCCAAGTAAAACCGGATAATAACGATTCCAAAACATCTAATTGTTCCTGGAAGGGGTTCATCAATACACATAATATTCCCAGCCAGAGCAAGCATTGGATTAACGACATTATTCTCGCATAAGTTCAGAGGTACCTCATCGAGATGAACCCAAATATCAGCCTCATCAAATTTCATATCTCTGATTGACTTACCCTTAGTCCAAGGTGTAAAGATCAAGAGAGCCGCTTGGTACGCTACCGAGCCTTGTTGTAGCATAGCATCCTTATCACGAACGTCCTCACAAAGAAAAAGGAAAATATTATCGAACTTCTGGACTGCAATTTTCCCAAATTTAATCCACTGGTTCGAAACCCACTTTTGGATTCGGGTCTCTGAGAAATTCCTATAGTCTATGAACTTGCCCAGTACAAGATGATTGAGAAACTCCTATAGGCTTGAGGATGAGCGACTTCGGCTTATGTGAGCGAAGGATTGAGTTACCGTCATCTTAATCGAAACAGGGGAAAAACAAAATTAGTGGAATCTTTATTATTATTAAGTAGGAACATCGAAATGAACAAGGGAATTGAAGGAAGCAAGTGGAAATCAAACATAAAACTTTTGAACTTTACTCTTTTTCTAAGTATTTCACTTTGTAATGGAGAAAATTGAAGGTCTGGCAGTGGAGGACGGAAAGGGAATATGGGGAAAAGGCTCTAGAATTCTAGAGAGATAAGCTCTCTTTTTAGAGTAAGAAACTGCTAAGGCGATGAAGGTTAAGATGGTGTTTTCCACAAAATAGTTGCTACTTCATTCATCTAATTTGATCAAACTATACAAGATATAACTAGAAATTTTTCGAGATCTAATAGAGCATCATGCTCCATATCATCGACAACTAGATGACCAAGGTAAGAATAGAAGATAAAGAACTATTACAACAATCTATATCCATATAATTAATAACTAGATGACCAATATTAATATTATATTAGCAATTCAGTCTGCTGCTCGTTTGCCTCATAATAGATATGATGATTGCATATGCGTATTCGTCAATTATAATAGTCAGTTGGGGTCTTAATGATCTAAATACACATCTTACTCCATCTCTAGTCTCTTTTTAACCTCGGTATATTATTTCTTTGTTTCTCGATACTTATGATATCTTGGCTATCATGTATGACAGTGCACAACTTTAATTAATACCGAGTATAAGTATCTTTATTTATGAATTTTTTACAAAAATTGATTTTAATAATCCAACTTTTTAGATAGTTTGTAGATAGTAATCTCACATATGAGGTACTTGTATTCATTGCTGACCACCTTTTTGGGGCTTGTGGTGTGTTTTGGGTGTAAGGGGTGGCTAGAGGTGATGCATGGTGGAGGTGCTTTGGAAAGGGGATTTAATTTAAGGGAAGGAGAGTGGAAGTGATGGTCGAGAGGAGAAAAAAGAGGATTTTTTTAATGTAGACTTATTAGAAGCAACATGTAACATGCTTAGTTTTTTAAATCAGTTATACCAAGGACCGGTATAGGAAGATAGACGCAAAATGTTGGATTATTAAAAAAAATTAGGTGCAAGGTGCACCTAAAAGCGCAAAAAACTTCCCTTACGTACACTTACCTCTATCACTCTATGGCTCTATGTGTACCAAGTTGTGCAAAAAGTTATGAAGCTAGTATTTCAAAGAGCCCAATTCTAACACCTAATATTTTATTAACTTTTTAAAAAAAATATATATATATATCTTTTAACTTCCAACTTTACTACTCCACTATTTTTTTTTTTAAAAAAAACCTTCCTCTATCTCATTAGTCATTACCTCATTTGGTCAAATGATACAAGTAAAATAAGACGAAACAAGTACGAGTATCAAAATTTCAAATTCAAAAAATCATTTCTAACAAATTAAATAAATATATCTCGTTTGTTAACATTTAGTGGCAGATCTTGACCGAAAATATTATAGGGGGCGGGATTTGAATCTTTTACCTCTTGCTTAATAGTTAAAACTAATCACTATTGCCCCAATAATGTTTACTTCGTAAGTTAATATACTTCTTCCGTTCTTTTTTACTTGACCTGCTTTGACTTTTACACTATTCACCACCCCTCTTTTGACCGTTTTTTGTGAATAATATATAAGGAAAAACCTATTCATGTAAGATATGTTTGAATTCGTCTCAATAAGTAATATCATAATATATAACTTTTATAATTTTTTACTAATGGAGAATTAAAGTTATTAATCATTAAAGTTTTACATTATAAGCGTGATAAAAGAAAACGGTCAAATAAAATAAGTAGAGGAAGTAGGTTATTTGAGTACAGTAACTAATTAATTACACGGAGTAATAATTTAAGGAGGGTCGGCCCCAAAATGCCCCCGTTAATAGGTCCCTCTCTATTAACATGTCAGTATTACTCGTATCTTGTATCAAAGCGGTAGTGCCTAAACCAGGCAATAATCTCAAATGCCGTTCTCACTTAGCCAGCTAGCTTTCGTTGTTGTCACTTGTCTCTATCCAATTATTTGATTTTTCTTCGATTTCTGTGAGAGATATAAGATATCGGAAAATATATGTGTTATATATTTAGGATATTTATGTTAAGATATTATTTAGAAAATTGTTATACCGTAGATCTTTTACGAAAATTATTTCCTATCTAACAAGTTTAGATATTGTATAAATACTCAACTTATTGGTGAATAATAATCAAGCATTCTTTTCTGCACTCCGTACTTTTATTCTTTTTCTGTTGTCTCACTGCATATTATCCGCTTTTCGTTCTCCGTAGGTTTTTCTCTCTCTCAATTCTTCATCAAGTACTCAACTTCGATTCTCTCTTTCTCATTGCAATTTAATTTACCTTTCATTTTCTTCAATTTTTTGTTAAATTACTTCAATTTAGGGTTTTATATTGACTGAATTTATGATTTACTGTATTTAGAAATTTTCCAATCACTCAAATTTCGCTAAAACACTAAGAATTTCTTTTAAATTTCGAAATATAGCGAGTAATTATGAATTGTTAATCATTTGAATCTGTAAGTGCTCGATAATAATGCGCACTTTGACTAATCCAGGATATCCAGCAATTATGATGTATACTTCTTGTATTTTAATTGGAAGACGTGTTCCAATAAATCTTTTCATGATTGATATTTTGACTATTATTAGGTAAATTGGATATTTGTTGATTTCTTGTAATGTGTTTGAATTTTCGCAATGAGTTGTAACTTGTAAGTGGTCTTTATCTTGCTTTCCTAGGAATGTTGGCATCGTTGTTGTATATAATGTATACTATTCAACAAGATAAAATATTTGTTTATGCACTGTGAATTGTTATATAGGGTAGTGTGTTTATACTTGTTGAGTCGTGTGTTTGTTTCGTTGTGCGGAAGGAACTATCTATCTGTCTAAGTATTCTGTTCTTGTTTCGTTGTGCTGAAGGAACCATCTATCTGTCTAAGTATTCTGTTCTTGTTTCGTTGTGCGGAAGGAACTACCTATTGGCTTGAGTATTGTGGGTTTGTATCATTGTACGGGAGGAACCATCTATCTGTTTGAGTATTGTGGGTCGTTTCGTTGTGCAATTGTTGCTTCATTCGTATTTGCTGTTGTTGATCCTGGTATTAGCATTTCTAATAATTATTCTGTAGCTAGTAAATTTTGCTGAATTTTGTTAATTAGAGTTACATCCTGTCATGTTTGTAGCTGATTTTTGTGCAATTAAACAAATTTTGTTTAGTAGGGTGACATCATGTTATGTTTGAAGCTGATTATTGTGCAATTAAACGAATTTCGTTTACTAGAGTGACCGTAACGTTTTGTTTGTACTTTGTAGCTGATTTTTTGTGCTATGAAACTGTTTAGGAGATTTAATAATGTTTTAGATGTTTGATATAGAGTAAATATAATTCAGGTTTGGGCAGACACAGTATAGCAAGCCAATTATAGCACGATACAAATGTGATCATTACAAATAATCCTTGTCCTTGTCAGTTCAGTTTTTGCAAGTCTTGTGGATTGGGGAGGGTAATTTAGGTTGCCTATTTCAACTTGGGGATAGGATAGCTAAAGGCTAAAGAAAGAGGGACATATATGACTATTGCTCTCCACTCTGTTTCCATATACACAGAGACTCTATCTAGATACAACTGATCAAGGATCAGCAATGAAACCAAGTATAGAAAGAATTGGCTCAGCTGCCTACAGTGCCTTATCAATGAGATCATAAGCAATGTCTGTCTATTATATATACCAATGGAATTAAATGGATCCCTAAATGTTTTGTATACTTCAAGGAAAACATTTTGTTGATAGGAACATATGAGACATTCTGCTTAGTGATTCTTTTCACTGACATATGTATTTGCTCTGGGAAATATGATATTTTTCTAGTATTTATTTTGTCAGAAATTTTGTGGGCTTCATGCTTTCCCTTTCTTGTCTGGATTATTTCATTTGGTGTGGAAGATAGGGGAAGTTTGTACACGTCTTTGTAAGACCTTAATAGCTTTCTAAGCCTCGTGGAAGCCTTTTGCTTCTTTTTTTTTTTATGCTTATATAATGTGTGCAGAACTAAACTATGGGACAAGTTTTGGGATGCATTCAAGTGGCTCAGTCGACAGTGGCTATTAGCGAAAGATTTGGAAAGTTTGAAGATGTGCTTGATCCTGGATGTCACTGTGTTCCATGGTGCTTAGGTAGCCAGATAGCTGGTCAACTCACCTTGCGAGTTCAGCAACTTGATGTTCGCTGTGAAACTAAAACTAAGGTTTGAGATTAATTATAAGTCTAATCAGCATCATTTGCCACTTTATTATTTTGATAGTCTCTGAATTAAGATTAGCAACTTGATTTTTCTTCTGAAAACGAATTGTTGACCTTAGAGTGGCATGTCAATAACATGTTCTTAAATGTATTTCACGTAAAAAATATCCTTTCATAAAGTTATCTACTTGTATGTGCCTTGATGCTTGAATGTATTCTAAATTAGTATATAGAAGATACATGAGAGGTTAATAGACCTTGAGTTCTAAACCTAACTACCTGAGTAACAAACAAAAGAAAGAACATGTCAATAACAAAGTGATATTCAGTATTTACATTTGCATTTGATGATTTACTTTCTTTCAATAAAGATGAGAACATTGTAAGTTCTGCAAATTTTTGGAAATGTTTTTGTGCTTTTTTATATGTTTAATTTTCATCTTATTTTGTTTGATTATTTCTCCTGCAATTTGTAATTACCTACTCTTGGATCTCTACCATCTCTTCTGTTTTCTTATTGGTGTCTACTAAATATATGACCTCCGCTCTTCGATATCTTCAGGATAATGTGTTTGTTACCGTGGTTGCATCTGTGCAATACCGAGCTGTGTCAGAAAAAGCTGAAGATGCTTTCTATAAGCTCACTAATACCAGGGAACAGATCCAAGCTTATGTTTTTGATGGTATGTGTATAACCTTGATTGAAGGGATTATGGTTTTGCTTAGGCTTCAGGTGGCTGAAAACGGACTATCAATGCTTGTTCTTTGTAGAATTAAATGAAGTAATGAATAAAAAAATAATTAACATGATTTTTGCTTTTGGAATAAAAGATGGGATTTTAATTATTTTTGGCATTCTCATTGGGCTTGCATAGTGATCTAGAGCCTAAAATGTAGTTATATTTTTTCTAAGTGACATGTTTTGATGCTTTTGTTTAAGTTTAATTTGGTGCTGAGGCTTGAAATATCTGTGGACTTGCTATGAATATGCCTGGAGCCTGGGCATCTGGTTGTATTTTAACTCTCTATCTTATAACTATGCTAATCTGCATCATTCAATGTGACAGTTATTCGTGCTAGTGTGCCCAAATTGTACCTTGATTCTGTTTTTGAGCAGAAGAATGATATTGCAAAATCTGTTGAACAAGAGCTAGAGAAGGTAATCCTGCTTTTATATAGGCTGCCAGTGAAGGCAAAACTTTTCAACGATGTATGTAATACTTACGTTTTTTCCTTATGTTCATGCAGGCCATGTCAGCTTATGGTTATGAGATAGTTCAAACTCTTATTGTGGACATTGAACCTGATGTGAATGTCAAGAGAGCAATGAACGAGATCAATGCAGGTAATGTTCCTTGGTTTTTATAACCTCTGCCTCACTTCCTTATTCCCATCATTGTCTTTGTGGCATTGCTATTTTCAAGAGCGTTGTTTCTCCCTTCCAACTGAATGAAAATATGAGGTCAACTGAATTGTGGCTTTCCATTCATAATAGCTGCTAGAATGAGACTGGCGGCAAATGAGAAGGCTGAAGCAGAAAAAATACTGCAAATAAAGAAAGCTGAAGGAGAGGCAGAATCCAAATACTTGGCAGGGCTGGGTGTAGCTCGGCAGCGTCAAGCTATTGTTGATGGGCTGAGAGACAGTGTGCTCAACTTCTCTGAGAATGTACCTGGCACATCTGCCAAGGATATCATGGACATGGTATTGATAACTCAGTACTTTGACACAATGAAAGACATTGGTGCTTCGTCAAAGTCATCCTCTGTGTTCATCCCTCATGGCCCAGGTGCTGTTAGGGACATTGCGACTCAAATCAGAGATGGCCTCCTCCAGGCACAAACAATGGAGAAGTAGGATCAGTAGGGTCGTTGCTTTTATCAAGTTTGTGTATATAGGTCCAGTATGAACTTCAATGGAGTAAATAATGTTCAGTATTGCTTGGTGTAGTATAGAAATCATAGATGGTTTAATTTGGCATCATAATGTTTTGTAGCTTTGATTAAGTAACTAAACTTACTAGTTTGCCACACATTCTGTTAAGTGGTGTTAGTAATGTTTGTTGTAATGAAATTTATATGTTGCGCAGCTTTTTTAAAGTTCATTTCTCATTGCTGCTCCATACGAAGTATTAAGTTGTCATCTATGAAACTTTTGAGATTCCTTCTGTTGCACGCACTTCACAACTTTTGAGGTTAATATGAGCCTTTAAAACGGGATGATAGTTTGATCCCACACACAATTGGTTAAAATCCTTGATCAATGGCAATGGTGTGTATACCTTATTACCTTTAGAGAAAAGTGAATAAATGGCAATTTGAAAGGTGAATTTGACACTGCTGAAGTGCTGAGGGGTTTGAGGGTGAGTATGACACGACTTATCAAATTCGAAATCAACATTATTGCTCTGGTGTACATGACTTTCAGGTAATTTCAGGTTGTGCAGCCGTTTGATCTACTTACACGCAATGCATCATAACTGTCTTCTTCAGCAACATTTTAAACTTAAGACTCCCCTATGATAACTTCCAGGTCTATAAGTAGGGGGTGTTAAATACCGCCATAAAAAATGATTAAAACCGCCAACATTTAGTGTGAATGTGATTAGATAATCATGGCCTTAGTATTTCACCACTATCTTCCCTCTTGCCACCAATCACTAACACCTTGACACCACCACCCTGATCGGCGACGACGACCACCAACACCCCTGACCGGTGACGACCACCAACACCCTGACCGGCGACCCACCACATCCCCCTCAATGACGACCCACCACCTTACCTCACCGGTGGGAAGATGGTGGTTTTTTTATTACCGGCAACCGCACCAACCGGAGCTCAAAATCGATTACCGAACACGGTAACCAGTTTTGGGCTCCGGTTACCACGATTGCCGGAAATAAAATAAAAAAAACCAACGCCTTCCACCGGCGAGGGAAGGTGGTGGATCGTCATTGAGGGGGATGTGATGAGTCGCCGGTCAGGATGGTGGTCGTCACCAATCGAAAGGGATGGTGGATCACCGGGGAGGATAAAGGGTGGTAAAGTAGTAAGGGCATGATTGTTCATTCACACCAAATGTTATCGGTGGTGATCATTTCTTATGACGGTGTTTAACAATCCACTAAAAGTAGCCACCAATAACATCTGTTTGGTCAAATTATAAAACAATTAGATACAATGTAGGCCATTTTTCAAAGTCATCTGTAGCTCAGCTGGACTCCTCTCAAATGCTCAGAAAAAAATTGATACAGAACAAGCACATGAAGAGAAGATATGGATGGAAATTAAAATAGGTAATAGATAATACAGGAAAAAAAAAAAAGTCATACTTGCAAAAAAAATCTCATCAGTGAAACTTGGCTCATAAAATCTCATCAAGTCGAGATTAAAGAATCCATAGACCAAGGGCTGGAAACAAAAGGCAACTGGTTCGCCACCAGCTAGAATTATTTTTTACAATTGACCACCAAAATGACGCAAGTCAACAAACCCATGAATACATTCCAAACAAAAAGTTCACTACAAGTCTTCGCCTAATTATTTTCCCAAACAGAAACCATCAAAATCATCTCAACTGAAACTATCAAGATCATCTCAAGGCAATTTTCAAGGCTTCAAAACCAAGCCCAATCCAAGTTTAGCACTCTTTTCGATGGCACTTGTGTCGACCTCACCAGAGAGAGTGACAATTGATTTGGGGCGCCATTCGTGCTGGATAAGGGCACTTGCCTTTCCATAGTTGTTAACACGAGCCTTGACTGAAGTCAATGGGTCCAATGCATGTTGAGTACCAATGGTGAGTGTATTCTCATTACTTGAGAAACTGTGGTTCAGCTCCGCACCAACAGCTGTGTTGGTCAATGGACTAACAGTATGATAGTATGAAGCATTCAAGATGTCCAATTTGTCATTCCTGCAGCACCCCAAAAGTAACAATGTTCAAAAGTAAATCCCCAGCTATCATATGATACATTTATTTACAGTAAAAAAATAGAACATGGTTAAGCAAATTTCAACAGAGTGAATCCAAGATTATTCCTAAGATCAAGGCATATACTGTTAATAATGACAACGGCCAAACAATATGACATTATTAATGCATATGAGCTAACAATGTGACATTAGTAATGCATGAGTATGAGCTAACAATGTGACATTAGTAACAGTATGGCAATTATTAGATCAGGACAGCTGTTGCACTTCTTTTATTTCTTTCATCTCTAAACAGCTAATAGTGCACGTGGATAAAGCAAATTATAATTGTATAACAGAAGCTACTTACAAGTTCACGGATGCAATGAGATCTTCATTGGTAAAGCTCACTCCAGCATTGCACTTGGTGAAATTTCCAGAAGCAGTGTCAAATGAAAGGTCAGTACCCAAAGAAAGAGTACTGTTTCCAATAACACCCGAAAAATTAACAATGGGGTTTGCTGTCAAACCAAGGCTCGTGCTGATACCAGCATACTCATGCAAATACTGGAGTTCAACCTGTTACCATAATGTATAATCTAAGCATTAGAACAACCAACCATCCAGTATCTTGAGCTGTACTACTAGCTGAGGGGGGGGGGGGGGGGAAGGTTAAAAACAAAAGGTATTTTTACCTTGCCGGATCTCTGATCAGGAACACGAAAGCTGAAAATAGCCTTCAAGCCAGGGGCAGGCTCATCAACAGTAATCGTGGTGAAAAGCTAAGATCAAAAGAGGAAGACAAAAGAAGTTAGAAGTTCAGTTTACCAGAGAATCCAATTTTTTTACAAGTAAATAATCTAAAAACAACAATGCTATCTCCACCAAAATTTGATAATTAGCAGCCATAATACCTATGTAATCATGAATTCAGAATCAATTGGTAACACAAATATACATATAGCACTCACATTGGAGTTGGTATCAACTTTCACATCTGTGGTAATATTCTTGTTTATCAGCTTGGTGCTCACATCAGCCAAAAACAACTCACCCTTCTTTGTCCCAGTAGAAGTAATAGCCTGCAAGAAACAAATTAAACATTAACATTGAAACAAGCCATGCATTCTGATTAACTTTTTCTCTACAATACAAAACAATAATTCAGCAATAACCTGCACTGCAAACATGCATTTTAAGTTGATTTCTTTAATCCTAACTCACAAGTCACAACCCTAAGAAATACAATGCTCTTCTAAGAAATGCAATGCAATTTCTGATCATATTACATTCTTTTTGCAATCAAACAAAGGGCAAGCAGAGTTTACTCAGTAATGTCAATACTGACATAAGAACGAGAATTATCCAGTCCAAAATTCATTCCCTAGGTCCCATACACAACTAAGAGACACGAAACCTTCCATTTCATAACAAGTGCAGAATAAGAGACGATATTATAATCCGAAAAGGGATAAAAACAAAGCAAAACGAGTCTAAATCCCGTAACATTAGTAGAGAATACAGAAGTCAACGACTGCATTCGAACACGCATAAAACACACTCAAACGAATTTTCACCTTCTTTATTTTCACCTTCTTTATAATCATACATAACCCTCAATTGACTACTTAAAACTTATCCGTCATTTGACAAGCATTAAGCAACTGAAACCAGAAAGCCATTACTAACCTCAGATTGAACCCTAATTACCCATAAAATTTCCCCACCTCAAGATTTTGCCCAATTTCATAAACAGTCCCATCAATCCAAGATATGAATAATTTAAAACCTAGAAGCATCATTTAAACAAACCCTAAAACCCATTATCATCCAGCTCAAATTTCTTTAATTATTCATCATAAACCTAATCATTTCCCCCAGATAATATAAATAAGCACAAACTAATACGAAATAAAATCATCAAATACAAGAACCCAGAGAAATTGAGAGGGAGAAAGAACCAAAAAAATGGCGAAACTTACAACTCCATTGGCGGTGTAAGTGGTAAGTGTGAACTTATGGTCACTCTGATAATCCCTGTACAAAAGATCTACAGCAGCAAACAAAAATTCAAAAAATCCCCATCAAAAATTAACAAGAAATTAAACAAAATTAACCGAAACAAAGGGAAATAATCAAAATCAAAAAAGGAAAAATGGTGAAAAAGAATTGAACCTCTAGCTTTTTTGCCGATGTCAGAGTAAAGTCCAGGACCCTTCACCATTTTTGATGATTGTCAAAGCTTAGAAGAGAGAGAAAATGAGGGTTTTCGGTGGAAGAGAGAGAAATGGAAAAATGAGGAAGAAATGAAAAATGAGAGAATCAAAGAATATTATGAATGCGCTACCTCTATGTGGTGATGTGTAGTTGTGGCTGAATTTTGAATTACAAAATAAATTAATTTGGAAATCGAAAACCCTAATGCAATCTTGACCGTCTGATGAAGTGGGTGTACCATTGTTGTGATACATCTAGCTGTCTATCCTCTGTGATTATGGCTGTATTGTGGGCCTTATGCCACCAAAAATAATTTAGGCGTAAATGCAAGTATGCAACTTACAAGGCTACAACCATACACCTCCTGACTTCCACAAACTCAACTTTGATGGCTCGATTCTCAACAACTTGGTAGCAGGAATCATCATCAGAGATAATAGCAGGACACCTTCTGGAGCACGTACCTTCAATCTCGGCAACACCAAATTCTTCATCGCTGAGGCGACATCTCTTCACAAATGTATTCTTTTGGCCCTTGATCTCGGGATAAAGAATGTTCATATTGAGGGCGATAGTCTCCTTGTCATCAACTCTATCAAAGGCACTTGGTCAAATCCTTGGTAGATTCAACTCATCATTAGGGACATCTACACCGTTCACACCAAATTTGATAATTGAAACATAAGACATATTTTTCGAGAGGCAAATCGACAACTAATTGGATAGAGTATGTAGGTCATTTAGTTAGTGATAGTATGCATATTACTTCTTGTAACAACTCTAGTCTCTCTACTATTCTCCTTTTAACGCATTATGAGTTCTTCTCGTGAGTTGATCTCCTAACGTCTTCTATTTTTCATACCTTTATTTTAACAAAATTTACAACCATAAACATTTGTTAATGCATAACTACTCCGTATTTCGCTTCTATTCTGACTTTCTATGTTTTTCGCATCTCGCTTCTAAGTATTCCATAATAGGGTATTAA